AGTCAGGTGAGTGGACACTCCTTGAAGCCGTCCAGATTTTTTATTGAGTAAGGTAAGGATCCTATAGAGTAAAATAAAGAATAAAGAGTATACAGTAAAAGAAAGAGATACCAGAGTAGGATAAAGAGATACCAGAGTAGAAGAGAGAGATACCAGAGTAGAAGAGAGCGATACCAGAGTAAAAGAGAGAGGTACTAGAGTAGAATAGAGAGATACAAGAGCAGAATAAAGAGATGTCAGAGTAAAATAAGGAGATAATAGAGAAAAAGAAGGAGTGGATTCTATTATTGTTGGGTGTAAAACATGGGGACATAATTGTCTAAAGATAGATACATATGTCATAATGTTGTCTTATATGCTAAAAGTTAGAGGCCATAAAGTTACTATCAAACAGTTACATCAGTTCCTGGATTTTGTGCAGGAAACAGGCCCTTGGTTCCCAGAGCAAGGGATAGTATATAAGGAGACCTGGGACAAGGTTGGAGAACAGATCAGGGAATGATATACAACAGAGGGTCCTAGCAGGATTCCCAGTTTTGCTTTCTCCCTGTGGAATTTAATTAAGGAGTGCTTGAGACAAAATCCTCCAGAAAAAACTGGAGCTGGCTTAGTAACTCCAATGATAAACACTCCAGAGGGCTATGCCTCCCTCTTACCTATGACATCAGTCTGTAACTAAAGACAAGGATGCAGAGGCAATACCTGGTAAACAAAAGGATGGTCTTTTGAAGTTAGACAGACTTAAGATTGCAGATTCTGAAGCAATTCCAAGGTGAGAGGAGAACGGAGCCACTGCCCTTTGGCCCCCTTCAGAGAGCTTTACACTGCGGCAGGTAGAAGAGATGACACTTTGGGATTTAAATCATACCCTGTTACAGAGACTCCTAATCCTGACAATCCAGAACAAAATCAACGTCAACATGCGCCAGTGTCCTTTAAAACTCTAAAAGAATTAAAAATGGCTTGTACACAATATGATCCCACAGCACTGTACACAATTGCAGTATCAGAGACAGCTATGCAGCTATGCAATCTGCATTTACCCCTCATGATTGGCAGGAGTTAGGCAAGACATGCTTATCAGGAGGAGATTATCTTTTGTGGAAATCTAACTTGTTTGGGGAAGCCCAAGAGCAGGTGAATAGGAATCAACATGGAACACCTATCACATTTGAAACGTTGGCTGGAACCAGAGAGCAGGCTGATAATGGCGCACACATTGGATATACTCCACAGGCATGTCAGCAGATTAACATTATATGCTGTAAATGCTGGAAAAGGCTTCCCGGTCAGGATCAAGGGACAGGTAGTTTTATCAGTGTATGAAAGAGACCTAATGAATTATATCAAGATTGTATTTCCCACTTAACACAAGCTGTATTGCTACTGGTCTCTGATCAGGAGGAAGGACAAATTTTGTTAAAGCAATTGGCCTTTAAAAATGGTAATGCCTCTTGCAGAGCAGCTCTTAACACTTTTTTTTTTAAAAAAAAAAGGAAGGGAGACAGTGGTTGATCATATTAGACTTTTTCAGGACATTGCAAAAAATTATTTTACTTGTCTATTAACTACATATTCGTAAAATGCTGATATGTACTAAAAGCTTAATTACTAAGAATTTAAATATTTTGGTAAATATGTAAAGTTCTACATACAATGTTAGAACCTTAATGGCCTTTATTAATTTTTTTCTTTTTTTCTTCTTTATGGAGAGGTTTTTGCTATGGGGCACGTGAGCTCGCCAGAAAGACAGAGAGAGACAGAGAGACAGAAAGTGAGAAATCACCCCCCAGGGGGGATGGCCATGTCACAATCCCTTTTGCTCCTTTCTCCTCTTGGGATTTTGGGCACACACGCACACGCGCCTAGCGTGAGTTTAAGCCACCGGGTATGGGACTCAAACCGCGGTTGACTACGTGGGAGTCCAGCGACATAGCCATTACGCTAACTGTTGGTCCCAATCTTAATGGCCTTTCTGAGGTGTCCAATTCCCCAGTCTATTAAAATAATAAATAGTAATAAATAATAAATAGTAATGCATAGTAATAACAAATTATAATAAATAAAATGAATTGTACTAATGAAATGCCATTAGTCACAAATGAGATAATTATCTTTAAATACTATATATAATAGAAGCAACTAATTGTTTGTATACTTTGTTCTCATTATTTTCAGTTTTGTCATTTATAGTTTCAAGATTGCTTCCCACGGAACAGACTCTAACAAGTACCTAGGCTGTTAGAGCCCTAAAGAACACTGCAAAAGAGAGAATTTTCTTTTAAACAAACTTCTGGAACCCCACCTATCTGCTTCCTTTAAATAATTATGCGTCTAATTGCCTCCTTTTACACAGGTATGGATACCCTCTGAACTCCTTACAAAACATGCTAATGCTATTCTTAACTTTATTAAATTAGAAAATTTTCAACATACGAATCTTTTAAAGTTCCTTTCTGGCTTCTACAGTTCCTGCTTGTACTTCCCTTCAAAATATTCTGCGAGTCTTCAGAGCCTCCACTAAATACTGTTTAGTCCTAACATTCTGTTATATAAACTGCCCAACCTTTACTCAGAAAAATTTTTAAAAAGAGGGAATAATTGGGAAAATAACAAAAATCTATTACTTATATAACTACATAGATAAATAATTTCTGGTATATCGCTTTTGGAGCTCCAGTTGTATGAGAAAGAAAATGTCCAGGATTGGTGATCTGTAAAAATCTGACATAAACGCTAATGGACAAGTGTTATTTTTCCTTACCGCCGCTGACAACAGCAGGTCTCTTACGTCAATGTAATCTCTTGCCTTGGACTCAAAAATGACCATGAATATTGTGTTTTCTTGTTCTCCTAATAGAGTGATTATCACTAATTTTCTGATCATGTTATAAAATTTCCTGTGCTACTGCGTTTGTTTTTCCCAAACAGCGGAAAGGATCTCACATGTTCACTCAAGCACGGGCTGGGGTGGTCCTGGCAGAGCTGGAGGCAGAAGGTGTGGCTCCCAGAAGAGCTGTTCCCCTGTGGGGACACAGGGCGGGACTTCTGTCACACCTGGGTCTCTTAGCGAAAGGCACGGCCATCGGGAGGCCAGTGGGGACCCAACCAAGTTGCCTTCCCTCTCAGCCCTCTTCTAACATTGACCTCTTCCATGTTCGTGTGGGAGAGAGAGAGAGACACCCTGGAATCAGGACACAGAAGGAATGAAAATGGGTGAAAGAGTTAAGTGAGCTAGAGGAGAGCGCCCTGGACCCCATTTTATCAGTGATGCTCAAAAGTGGCTAACGGTGTGTAGACAGACAAGAACAGAGCGGGAGACCCTGGGGCTGGAACAGCGTCCCGGCCATGGCCATCCAGTGAGCGTGTTGAGAGAGCTGAGGAGATTAGGTTGGATTGGATTGGATCGTGCTGATGCATACATGAGGCTTAATAATTAGTCCTCCCAACCACAGTTCTTTATAAGGTTTTTAACATTTTTTTATTTATTTTAATTTTTTATGGTTTTTGCCATAGGGCATGTATGCTCACTGGTGACAGAGGAGGAAAGGAGAAATCACCCCCAGGGGTGACAGCCATGCCATCATCCCCTCTCCTCCAGTGTCTGCTCAGGGTTTAGGGCACGCACACAACCCAGCAAGATTCCCAATCGCTGGGTCCAGACCTACAGCTGCAGTCTCCCGTGTGGGGGCCCAGTGCCCTCACCTTGCTGGCCCCAGGATCGTTTGTTTGTTTATTTATTTGTTTTCTTTTTAAAGAAATGAAGATAGGGACCAGCAGATGATGGAGAAGTTGAGGTGACTGGCTCCCACATGGCCAACTGTGCAGTTTGAATCCCTGACCCGGTGGTTTGGAAAACACACTGTCCCTTTTACTCCAATCTCCTCTTGAGATTTTGGACACACACACATACACACACACACACACACAGGCACACACGCACATGTCTGGTGTTTTTCAAACTACGAGGTCCAGGACTCGAACCACAGTCACCCATAGAGGAGTCCAGTGCCCTAACACTGCATCACCTGCTGGCCCCAAGGCTTTTTCTTCGTTCTCCTCTTGGGATCTCGGTGGGCATGCATGCACACGCCCGGGAGTAATTTCAAGCCTCCAGGTCCAGACTCCAACTGTGCCGGGCCAAGTGGGAGTCCAGCTCCTTCACCACCAGCCACCTGCTGGCCCTGCCATTTTTAATGTAGTGGCATTTGCCTTCCCTAACTCCACGTGAA